ATTTAATTAGTTCTCACAAGAAGGGAAGGCTAGCTTCTCATCAACAGGTTGGTAATGCGGTGCATGCTGCTGCTAAATGTACTCTGACACTAAATGATTCAAAGCATCTTTATCAGTGATTTCCTTCTTTTTCTAAGAAGTTGATCAGCAATCACAGCGCTTTTCCGAAAAACACATGGAAGTTGTACTAGCTACAGTTCTGAGTGCTACTGCTATAATTATGAGAGGCAGTATACTCTGTTCATTGTGAATTATTTCTCGAAATATATATCTTGTAAGTCGCTGTGAAATATTAACAAAATCAGATTATTTACAGATATTGATCATAACAATGCTATACCTATTTATAGTGAGCTCGCTTCTCGTTTTAGTTCTGCAAGTAAGTGGTGTCATTTTTTCGAAACATTGAAAAATTGTTATTAATCAACTTTATTGTTATTAATGAACTTTCTTGAGGAAAAAAAAACTCAAAAAAAAACTCGTCAGGACAGTGCGAGCAGTTAAGACTCTACTGCGCTGCTGTTCACAATTCCTTTATCACCTTCCCCATCAAATTGCTCCAAAAGAACTTTATGTTAAATTCGATGGCAAGGTAAAACACTGGTACGAACTGCAGTCAATACTATATGCCGAAATACAATAGCTCCTACTTTTTGAAACATCTACGCGTTGCTACGGTTTTGTAGCGTCGCAAACCTTCGCACCTTCATAACTCCCTAAGAAGCGGGTAAATGAAAGGATCTCCACAGCGATGGATTCATCTCTCTGTGGCGAGTCTGACCATGTTCGATACTACTGATTCGGTTGAAGTTGTAAGTTGGCGTTTACGTCCAATCGCAAGTGACGAAGGGCGAAGTGACGCGTCATGAAATCAACGACTGCGGTAGTTGAAGGAATCCTCCACGGAAAAAGCTCCGCCCTCATTACCACAGAAAACGATACCTTAAAGGAATCTTCCACGGAAAGAGTGATCATTTTGTCGTGTGTGTAGGATTTATTTCTTTAAGAGCTAGTCCCCGATTGGAGAGATAATATAACAAGGAGGGGCGAAGCTGTCAAACGAGGGATCGACGATGTTTTTATGGAGATAAGTTATTACCAGTTCAACCACTGATAGTTTTGTATATGGTTAGACTCGCCACAGAGAGGCGAGTTCGTTGAAGATCCTTTCATTTTACCCGCTTTCGGGGGAGTTATGACGGTGCGACGGTTGCGACGCTACAAAACCGTCGCAGCCCAGGTGTCTAAAAATTAAGAGCAGTGTTGTAGCTATAAACGAGCCGAAATTCAGTGGAGTGGCTGTTTTGATACGTTGACAGGGTCGCCACACTAATTCTTTCCCTCAGTCATTCAGCGCTTGATAACACCTCGGAATCTCTCGAGAAATCAATTCAACTTTTAGATGAAGAAGACTTTCGTTGTCCAGAATAATCATCAAGCACCTCTTCTAACCAGTCACAACTTCTTTGGATTAATTCCAGCTTGGTTTCCACATGATTCCAAAAAATTGAGCAACCGCAAAGATAAGGCGATAAGTTGATCACATCGAATTTAAAAATTTATGCGACTGCGTGCTCTTTCTTCATGCTAAGCAACTTTTAGTGTTCAGTACTGTATCGATTGAAAATTTATGGATCGATTTGCCATGAGTTAGCAAACAAGTAATTGCGGCATTGTTTCCCGAATTTTTTGACTCAACTTTTGTATGACAAGGGAGCTAATTATGCAATCATAACTGAATGATAATATTAGCAAATAGGGCATAACAACAGCATTCGGTCATTCCTCCTAATTTCAGGCCATTCACTTGTTTCAATATTTCTTTTACGATAGTTGCCAAATAGGCATTTCACCAGTTCTATGTTATTCGCTGCGTCATCCAATAGCAAGCTGTATGGTGTCATTTGCCGCACTCCAAGTGAGTTCTGAGATCACCGATTCCCTGCTCTTCTACCTGAAATTAGTTTTGTCAATAGATGCACTACGACAAAATTGGAAGTGCAATGGTATCACCTGGAACGCTGACATCAAAAGGGTCAAGAACTACACTTCGTTGGGCAAGGCAGTAGGCTATCAAGGTTGAAGCATTGGAAGTGAATCGGTGGCAAATCCGTTAAAAGACGCAGTGCTATTCGCACTACACAGCGACTTGCGAAAGTCAGTGGATTTTCAAAGATCCAGAAAGTCTGATAGTAAGTGACCGCAGTCAAGGTAGACCCATAGTAGATTCGGGGTAAGAGTTGAGTCCTGATATTGGAAAAGGGTCAGCCGTAACGTTGGTTTAACATTGCATTCTGCACGACCTCTGCTCCTGAAGAAGCTTTCCTCTACGACTATCTCCCTTCACATCGTTCTCGCTATGATAATTAAGCTGCTGATAAATCGCACGCAGGAGTGCTCAGTGTGTTAATGGTTATACTGCCTACTAGCGACTGCGCAGGGTTCTGCCTCAGACGGGGAGGAAGTAGTATAAACCAGTTGTACTTCAAACGTTCACAACTTCATCTGTTTGCCGACTTGAAAAATTCGAAAGACGGAATCCAAATTTCTTCATGAAAGTCGCTCGAGCTGCCGAAAGTTTCAAAACTCCTTCTCTGCTATGAAGTAAATAATAGAGAACAGAGAATTCATAGCAGATTCGGCTCAGCTCTCAAGACGAGTAGGACGGGGGGAAACTTCGCCCATAGCGTACATCATAACTTTTTGTTACGCGAGAGTGCCGCGGATGGTGATTGCCTTGAGCTTCTGAAGCACTTCGAAAGCTTTTGAAGCTCTTTGAAATTCAACTAATATGGGAAAAGTGCTTAGTGTTCGGTTGTCTTTCTGAGGGGTCAAACCATCAAAAAAAGATGGCATCAAGATCAACAACCAATCGAAGCATGATAAATTGATAATCTAGTCTAAAATGTCATGACACTCGTAGTTTTGAGTAGCATTGCTGTCGTGAGAAACTAGACAATCAAGGCTTTTTTGGAACACGCAATTTATACATTTATAGAAGCCATAAGTTTGTTTGGAAGCATCTAATCAGCAGAATGAGTGGGGCGGTATAGACGCGAAAATTTCAGTAGTCACTGAAATATTTGCGTACTCAACAAATGCTCTGTTTCGGGTTGCAAATCAAAAAACAATATCAAAAGGTCAAACATCGTATCTGATTTGTCACAGTTGAAAAATTCGTACGGGCAATTCAATGGAGGCTCATTCGTAAACTTTTTATGCCTTCCAAAATGACCTTGAACTACTTCCTTTACGTGTAATGGGAATAGTAGTGCGACGCACCGATCGAGCTCCTCTAAGAACACACTGTGCGCTCGATATCCAACGAAATATGGAGCTCCCATTTTCTCTCCTTCAGGCTGTAGATGCTCTATCTGCTAGCCTATCCTCCATCACCACGATATGTCCCGCCATCACACAAAACGAAGTACAACATTCGAGAAGTTTTCGATCAAGCTTTACCCTTTCAAATTCTAGTTTTGTACTTCTAGGCAAAATCCACACTTTACATTGATGGTGTGAATAAGTATGCAATTCATCGGCAAAGATATGATATGTGATCCCAACAATTTAGCTCTGATGGATAACGTTTACTTTGTGTTGAGATACTATGTCGCGTTGTAGATAAACAGTTGAAAAGTCGATTTTTTCTAATCAACCTCATGCCTAGCTCTGTGGCTGCACAAAGCAAACAGTAGGCGAAAACGTGAGCGCGCGTGTGGGGTGTGCGCCCCAAATTAGAAGACGGTTCTCATTTCCTGTCATGCTGTTCGTTCACTGTCATGCTGTTAAATCATGCACTACTGAAGGTGTCAATGGTCGTCGAGAGAGGAATTGCTCTATGGAAGCGGAGGCATTATGAGAAATACGGACCGACACTGGGAATCGTGCTTACTGTTCTCTGTGTAAGTTCAGTCGCATGCACCACCAGAAAAAATGAATGTGTAAAGCGTACCAGGCATTTCGATCCATCCAAAACTTATCTTTTGTCTAACTATCAATGACCTGAATTTTACAGAACACAGTTTCAGGTACTTATCGCTCTGGCGACCATATCAGTAGTAACAGGAGGTATCACTCAATCGCGTCCGACAAGCTATTGCATTATAAATGGATTGGCAACACCGCGAAACATTATGATTATGAAACTAATCATATGCGCCGTTGATATTCTAACGTTGATTGGGATTGCGTCACTGTTTTTGCTTACCAATTACTTTTCAAAAAGGTAAAGTCTCTTGTATTCTATATCGAAACACAGGGGAAACATCACAATGTTGGGCGTGCACATGTGATAGAGTTACTACAGCAGTATTGTGGTTCGTTGCTGTTGAACCATTTCATCCTGGAGAAGCAGATTATTTGCCCACCGGAAGGACCTTTCCAATCCTGTTTCGCTTGCATTATTTCAAATTTCCCAACTGATTTGCCACATGCACAACCCTGTGGTGTTTGGAATCAACTCTTGTATGAAGTTGAGAGATGAAGTGACTGTGACGAAAATTTCTGTATACTACAGATTGCAAGCAGATGGGCCCTGGTTTGGCGTGCAATTACGGTAGTAATGTGGCCTCAGCTTGGTCACACGTGACCACGAGCTCGTGGTAAAATCCGAAATTTCCCTGAAATGCGTAGGGCACCTCTGGAACCTCTCCGAAGATTCCCCTCGGAATAGTCGAAGTGAGTTCGAACTCACTCGGAAGTCGGGGTGATCACATCACGTGCTGTAAGAGGATTGGCAGGGTGGTCATTTAAAAACTAACAACGATGGCGGCAGAGAAACTAGAAATAGTGCGCGAGGGGTGGGGACGCAACATGCTGCCACTTTGAATGTGACCATCTCTAAAAAGTCCTCCGGAGGACTTTCTAGAG